GGCAGAATTCTTTCGTGAAAGGTTAAAGGACGAACAAATCAATATTAACAGTAATGGTGTTGAATGTGAGGCGAACTTAAACTAATAAACACTTAATCACCTGATGTACAAACAACGCTTAAAGTTGGTGGCTACTAACATTAAGAACAATGGTAATTTCACTTAGGCAATGCATATCTTCACCTTATGATAGAAACGTAAAAAATTTAGATATAAATCGGAAGTCAGAATGGAAGGTGATGAGATAATAGAAGATTAATGAGGGTACTAATCTGGGATATGGGAGCACAACTGGGAGTAATGTGTAAATCATAATTTTTGACAATGTAAATATAATCATTACAATTCGGTTATCTATTGCATGAGGGCTTAATTATAAATCATTTTGACATCATTTTGACATCATTATTCTCGAGAATCCGAGTGTTAATAAAAAAATATAAATAAAAAAAGATATATGCGCGTACAATGTTTTACTTTTATAATGAATCCCCTGAACTAACATAAAAAAGAATTCATTGTACAGTATATAATGTTAAAGTAATTTTTATAAAGGGAATGTAGGTACGTATTACAATGCCGCTAAATATGCCAACAAGAATAATAATTTTTTTTTTTAAGTAGGTAACGCCACAAGAATAATTTTTTTTAATAGTCCACAAGTTATTATTATTATTATTATTAATATAAAAATCAAGAATAATTCACAAATGGTAATTTTATTTTTCATTTACGTAATAATTTTTTAATTACTGTATTATTTTAAAATTTAATTCAATAATCTGAATTTGATAAATTTGATATTAATTAAATTTATTTTATCAAAATCACAATTGTATTAAAATTATGTTACATTTATTTTCAAATATGAAATTAAAAAAAGCATAAAAAAAATGATTAATAATTAATTTGATATACAGTATATTTCATATTAAAAAATCAATATACAGTATACAGTATATACAGTATATATATATTTATTTAATTTTTTAATTTTATATTATATATATTTTTTATATTAACATGTAAAAAAACGTTTTGAGATAAGTTCAAATATACAATAAATCTTAGACAATTATAACAATTATAATAAAAAATCTTGAATATTAGAATTTTTTTTTTTCTTAAAAACCTAAAATTATGTTAAATTAATTATATATACAATATATTTAAAAATCATAAATAATAACTATTATCTGCAAATAAAATTGATATACAGTATATTATTAGAAACACAAAAATCAAAACTTTATTAATTATTTAAGATATTAAATTTATTATTTTTTCTCACTTATTTATTGTATCATCATTTAACGTTAAAGTGACATTTAAGGATTGTATTAAAAGATTACTCAAAAACGCCCAAACTATAATTCCGAAAATTGAAATTGCATAGACTCGCATGAACTCGCATACATATAAAAAAACATAAGTGGATTATAATCCGCCTATTAAATTTACTATTAAGAGCTGGAATCGAATGGAATCAAACACAGAATCGTTAGGATCCTTAATCCAAACTAATAAACAATTTGCCCATGAAAATATTTCAAAAACCTTATTTTTTTTTTTTTTTTGAAAAACAAATTTTGACCATTGTCTAATTTAAACGGAAACTATAGTAAAGATACTGAATAGAAAAAGATGAGCATTTTTGATAACCGAGCTTGTAAATACCATTCAAGCATTAAGTTACTAAAGTTGATAATCGTGTAACATCTTGATTTAAGGGATCAACAAAAAAAAAACATTTGACAAAGAGACAAATGCATATCAGTGAAAATGTCGAGGCCCTTTTTTGGACGTTCTAAATGTAATCAAATAACCCGGTCCTTATAAGACCCTGATTTTACATATTTATTAAATGAAATACGTATTTATGACGTGTGTACACTGATTATGTAATCAATACGTAAGAATAGGTGCCTAATTTTTCTAAATTTATAATAACCTTATTTAACTCAATTATGTAATTCCCCTTTTTTGTATTTAATGAATTCAACAAGATTTTCATAAGCCTCATCAACTCGGTTACGTAAATCATGCGTCATACCCTGGTCTATTGACTTAATTTATTAAATATGCGGATAAAAATACGTCATTAGTTTGGTTCATTGTATTTAAACCAATTTGCGATTACACAAAGGCTTTACCATGCTATATACGGCATCAACCATACTTTCCAGTAGTTGCAAAAAACTACCCTGGACAAATACCGGTTTATCGTAATCAAAATCCTTATCTGCGTATATATCATATATCGCATTGAGAGCCTCAACCGTACAATCTAGTGATGCGGGATGCGCTTGCAATTGATTTTGTATTATTTCAAATAAAAAGGAGCCAATCCTCTATTGACGTGTAAAATAGCAATGTTAAAAATAGCGAATTTACAGCAAAAAATAACATTCTATTAATTTACCCTATTATCTTCTATCGCATTTTGTCGTCTGGCAATTACGCCAAGGGTTCCTATTATCTTCACACACATGCTTTCAGAAACATTCAACTTGTAATAATCAATCAATTCTTGGATTTGATTTGCGGCAAGTGGCTTGGTTGGACACAGGAATTCTGTATTGTTATTTCATTCAACCCTTGTAATACTATGCATATGTAAATACATACCACATCACCGTCCAATCCTCGGGACAATGTCCAAAGGCATCCTATTAATGTTTCCAAAATTTCATCTTTTGTTTCCTGCTTATATTCTCCCGTTCCAGCTTTCGTACTTATACCCGAAACTTTGTTGAACAATTCAAATAACCGTATCCATGTCTGTTGAGCTTCGTATCTACACTGTGTGAACCACCATT